TGTAGCAATTGTATTCGCTAAGAGGGCATTCTAGCTTGAAAATATCACTACCCTTGAAAGTTTCTTATAGTGGTGCTCTAGACAATTAGCTGACCTTCTGCCGTAGGTTCACCCTTGGCTATTTAACGAAAGAAGGGTTGAAATGGGCCGAGCTATAATTGAAACAAAAATTTGTAAATAGCGACCGTGACATTTTCGTCAAAATGGCAGCGAAATTACATTACAATTTACATTTAACGAAGCAAGGAAATTGTATGCATAAGACAACGCGTAAATGAGGGGAAATGAAGCGAGACGTAGAAGGGTGGAGAGGTTTAGTTCCGCGTTCCCAGTTAAGAAGCAATTTTCTTTGGAAATTAAATTGCCGATGATTGATTTATGACGGCGAATGAGCGTCTCATAAAGATTGGCCCGGCAGTGACAAGCAGAATTCGGCGGGCTTACACCCGGTTCTGTGAGAAAATAAAAACCTCTTATTTATACCTTTTTTTATATTACGCGAAGCCCATAAAATATGTGAACCCGAACGCATATTACGCGTTGAAATTCCTGTACGTTATGGCCAACCCCCCCCCCCCCCCCGATGGAGAATATCAAGTTGAGTTTTGTATGGCGGTATTTGGAAAACCATTCGCGATCGATTTAGGCCGATGTTGTTACTAACGGGGTGATATCGGTTTTCTCGACGTGGATGAATGGAATAAGAAGTAATTTTTTCTGCTTCCAATTCTGCGGATAATTGCGTTTGCGAAAATTACACTCGACCTAGCGTTAATTTTGTAAAATTAATGGCACTCGAAGACAAAGAAAAATTGAACAATTATGCCTTCTTATTCGTTTATCACATTCGAAAATGAGCCACTTCTCTTCTTGTGTCAAGTCTTGAAAGTTTCGTTAGCGAGTACTGAAATTCGCCGATTAATACGCGAGACCTCTGGTGGCAGCACCTTGTAATTAGTACTGGTGGTATAAGATCGCCATTTTGTTGTTTTACAATGGCCAAAAGTAACCAATGTTGTAGTCAGAGCTGGACAGAATACTTTCAAAAAGTATTTGAATACTAAATAGTAAATATTTTACACAAATCAAAGGTATTTGATTACTAAATACTTTTACCTACGTCCAGCACAAGCGAATACTAGATACAGATACATTGAAAAGTATTCAAATACTTAAAAAATAAGTATTCAAATACTTTAGAATGTATTCGAATACTATGCAAATTTAAGGGAAGTAAAAGCATACTATTATTATTATGTAGGAGGGTAGGAGGTACCTACCAGGACCTTTCTTATACCAGTTATATCCTTAAGAATACGTGTACCAGTTTTCAAAGCGATCGTACGTCGTGCACGTGATACGTACGCCTTCCTGAAATTAATCCTAGAGATTTTGGAAAAGATCCAAGATTTGAATTTTTTTCGAAATATGTTTTTTGTCCATAACTTTTGATTGAGAAGTCTAATCGAAAAAGTACGAATTGTTTTGGATTGTACGCACCAAAATTAATAAGAAAAAGTGTTTTCCCGAGAAATTTTGGTGTTGTCGATTTTTGGTAAAAAAAAAGGAAGGTTATACACTGCCTTTTTTTGAGGCCCCGCAAAAAAAATTGTCTCAGATCGACCCGGAAAAAAAATTTTCTTATAGAATGTGGCCTGTAGAATCCATAATTTCAAACAGTTCCAAGATTGGGCTACTAGTTCAAAAGTTACAGCCCTTTGAATTTTCTTTCGAAATTGGTTTCTAGTCTATAACTTTTGATTGAGAAGTCTGATCGAAAAAGTACGAATTGTTTTGGATTCTACGCACCAAAATTAATAAGAAAAAGTGTTTTCCCGAGAAATTTTGGTGCAGTCGATTTTTGGTAAAAAAGGAAGGTTATACACTGCCTTTTTTTGAGGCCCGCAAAAAAATTGTCTCAGATCGACCCGGAAAAAAAATTTTCTTATAGAATGTGGCCTGTAGAATCCATAATTTCAAACAGTTCCAAGATTGGGCTACTAGTTCAAAAGTTACAGCCCTTTGGATTTTCTTTCGAAATGCGAAGTATTCGAATACTTCTCAAAGTATTCAAATACCTTGCGAAGTATTCGAATACTTTACGAAGTATCCAAATACTTTGCGAAGTATTCGATTACTAAATATTTGTGAAAGTATTTGAGTTACAAAAACAAATACTGCTTCCATAAAAGTATTTAATTACAAAGTATTTGAATACTTTAGAGGATTTGAATACTCAAAAGTATTTACAAAATCGAATACTGCCCAGCTCTGGTTTTAGTGTTTACAGCTGTAATATTTCATTTGCACTCAGTGTAATTACACTTTATATAATATAAAGTCAATGGACGTAGAAAAACATTTTTCAAAATGGCGGTTTTCGAAATATTGACATCAACTTCCTTATTTTAAATGGACGTCATATTGAATTTTTACTCAGATTGGTACAGTTTTTTTCTCCTTCTAACCATATATAACAACTTTATTCAAATAATAAACATGGGTAAAATTACAATTTTCATTTTTTCTTTATAGTTGGCCATGGAATCAAAACTACCATAGATGCCTAATGGTCATTTTACAATGTAACATTTGATTAATAGTACATTGAACAAGGTAAGTGCTGCCGAATGTGCTTCGTTAGTAATGGAATGCATTTTGAACATTTGCTGTAATTTTAAATTCCATTATTATGTTGTTTTATGTTAATTAATCTTTTAGTAAAACTACTGGCCGGTCAGACAATTTGCAACATCGCAACATGTCAATTACTTGCTGTTTCCATGGCCAACTATAAAGAAAAAATGAAAATTGTAATTTTACCCACGTTTATTATTTGAATGATATATATGGTTAGAAGGAGAAAAAAACTGTACCAATCTGAGTAAAAATTCAATGCCATGGAAACAGCAAGTAATTGACATTTTGCGATGTTGCAAATTGTCTGGCCGGTCAGTAGTTTTAGTAAAGGATTAATTAACATAAAACAACATAATAATAGAATTTAAAATTACAGCAAATTTTAAAATGCATTCCATTACTAACTAAGCACATTCGGCAGCATTTACCTTGTGTGTGTGTGAGTCCATTTCAACATTATGTGAGAGCGACTCCATTGCCTCCACCCATTAGGGCTGTGTGTGCTGGTGCACCATCCTGTTGAAACCAAGAGTTTGCAACTTCTGTTTTTTTGAGTGTCGTATATCGTTGTAGTCGTAATAAAAAATTCTACTCTATCCAGTATGGACTTTTTACGGGGACGAAAACGAAACGTTGTATTGAAAATCTCTCAACGGTGTCTTGAAGGGCTCAAAATGTGGCATTGAGAAAATGTTCTTTTTTAATTTTTTGATCTAATACCAGAAAAAAATAGTATTATATTATTCTCCACTCGTTCAATTTCCAGAACGTCCGCATAACATCACCGTATAAGTTAGTCAGATCGAAATATGAAGCGTGATAATTTAACGATACCACTTTAAAAATTGTATGATTTGATTTGATTCTAGGAATAATCACGTACCAATTTAACCGCAACTCATGTTTAACAAACATTTGGATCAAGCACAATTCGGTGTTTGTCACAAGTAACCACAATTACAACTTCCCTTATCTTAGCTCTTACACGAGAACGTAACTTAAACGGACGTAATTGATTACGTTCTACTTCTCCAATTAATTTTTCAGGTAATTTCACGAAAGTTTCCCCAATTCGACGCAGCCATTTGATTACCGACGACATTGATCGACAGTTACCTTCCCAAAGGGGCGATAAAAACTTTTCGAAATTAATCAAGAGTTTTAACGAAAATATTTACCCGCCGGTAAACAACGCGATGCACTCATTAGGGGTTTTATGGCAGCGGTTTTTTTCAATTTTGTATTTACGACTCCATTTTCGCCGCCCTTGCTCTACTTTTGCACAATTCACAAAAGCGATTTCGTACATTAACCGTGCAGAAATTTTAATATCGCGCTCTCTGTTGTAGATATTAATAAGCTCGCGCTGACACCGAAGAATAAAAAAATGTTTCTCCAAATAACGGAATTAGCTTTTCCAGTTCAATTTTTATGCATAGAGACGCATGAATAATTTATACATGGCAAAGAAAATAGGTGGGAAAGGCACTAGTAAGTGTGCACCTGGAGCACGCTTATACCTCAAAGATGCTTTCGAGATAACGAAAAGCTAGCGTGACTCCCACAGTTTATACGGTTTAACTTTTCTGTCTTTGGGGTTATTTTGCGCAAAAGAGGACAATAAAAATTTGGAATTACGAGTGATTTCAATTTCATTATTGATGACATTGATTTTCCGCGAGAAAATATGAATTTTGTGGGGAGGGGTATAAAAAATGGAAACGCTCCTACGGCCTCCTGTCTCATTATTTACACGCCAAAGAAAATAGCGAAGCAAATATCCTTCCGTTGTAAAAATGTGTCATAAAGGCAAAGAGTAAATATTGATGGTTAACGTAACAGATCTCCTTTTGTGAGAGCTTCGACGTTTCCTTCGTTAAAGTCTTGAAACGCGAATTTATAAAATTGGATACTGCCTTAAAGCGTTTTTCGAAGACAACTTTTACCCTGCTTGTTTTTTGGTTTGTCGATAAAGGTACGTTATTACGACTAAGACTGTCACATTTCTTTTTGTGTGCTTCCCCCAATAATTGTTATAGGCCCCATGTTCGGCGCCAAAGGATTAGTCCTCTTCGTTATCGCCTCAGCAGAAGTGCAAATAATGCGGATACAAACTCAGTTGTGTAAAGTGGTCCGTAATTAAATATTTGCTAAGTAAACGGAACAATTTTGTATGGATTTGCTATGTCTTAACGCAGTGGTTCTCAAACTATAAGTTGGACCGTTTATAAAACGAGTTACATTTTTAATATCATATTGCAAAATTCGTCTGGACGCGTACGACCCTAAAAAATATGTAGAGCATTCTAAATTTATAATTAACATTCAGGAGGGTGCTCTAATTTATTCTCTTGTTTCAGGGAGCTCCAATATGAATTCAGTGCAAGAGGAACTACAAGCAACCTACCCCTGCCGGAAAAAGCAGATTGAGGAACTTTATAACTTATTTGGATACGGCGAAGAGCCGCTGGTCGACGCGGTTTACGTCTACGGATCATCCAGCACCGGAAAGACGTCAATAATAAAATCACTATTAAGAGGATTAAACCTAAAATTCGCCCTCGTTAATTTGGTCGAGTGCTACACATCAAAGATATTATTCGAATCAATTTTAAATCAACTTTCCGACCATAAAATCGACGTGATCAAAGCTCAGCCGTACGCCCGATGCGATAATATGATGGACTTCGTCGCCAATTTAAGAAAGTGCGGCGAAACCGTCGATTTGAGTCGAGCGGTAATTGTTTTAGATAAAGCGGAACGTTTGCGAGACATGGACTCTAATCTGCTGCCCGCTTTTCTTCGATTAACCGAATTGGCCGATTTATCTATTTCGGTTGTTTTTGTATCGGAAATCGTCTTCGATAATTACTGCTACAAAAACGAAATCGTAACGCCAATTAAGATTCATTTCTCCCAATACACTAAGGAGGAGATAATCGAGATACTCTGTTTGAATTTTGATACGGCTCGAGAGGCGATTGAGAGCAGTTACGGCGCCGAGCTGAGTATTACCGAAGAGTTTTACAGGAATTATCTTAGTGTATTCCTTTCTGTATTTCATCGCGCTTGCAGAGACGTTTCTGAGCTGAAGTATATGGCAAAACAAAGCTTTGTTAAATACTGCGAGCCAGTGGCTAAAAAAGACTGTGAGCTCAGCGACTCATTGGCCTTGTGGAAGCACATCGCGCCAGTCCTAAAGAGCTCCCTAGGACTGCTCTACATGCGTATTTCACCAACCCACCAAGAGAACTCGTCCACACTCTCAATCACAGCGAAAGATTCCCAGGTCCAATCCCTCGAACTTCCCTACTACGGCAAACATCTACTAATTGCCGCCTACTTAGCCAGCTATAACCCCGCGAAGGAAGACAAGCGCCTTTACATGAAGTACCACGGCAAAAAGGCCCGAACCAAATCCGACATAAGAGCGAAGAGCAAAACTGCCGAACAGTTGTTCACCCAGTTAGGTCCGAAGCAGTTCGGATTCGATCGGCTGATCGCGATATTTTACGCCATTCTCGAGGAGAAGGTCGGCCTGAATAGTCATCTGCTCGTGCAGATTTCGACTCTGGTCGAACTGCGGCTTCTGGCCATTGTGTCGGATAACTCGGAGCTGGACAATCGTAAATACAGGTGTTGCGTCGGTCTCGAATACATCGAGGCCGTCGCTCGCAATGTCGGTATTAATATTAAGAAGTATTTGGTCGATTTTAACTGAGTTTGTCAATAAAACGTTGTTCTTTGTCCCTTGTGTCTTTTTTGTTTGTTTTTTCTTAAATAGAGAGGACAACCATGGTAAGTTGTAACAGAAGGTACGCTCGAGATACACTTTTCTCTCATGTTGGAGGCTATAATTTGAATTTAAAGTGGATACATACGTAAGTACGGCCATCTTTAATCGCACGGTTATTTTGTGTGTCCTTTTTAGGATTTTTCAAGTTTGACCCGATTTAATTTTCTACACTCTCCGTATTAGTAATTATTATTTTCAAGAAACCGTCTTATTAATTGTAGGCAGAGCTGGGCAGTATTCGATTTTGTAAATATCTTTTAGTATTCAAATCCTTTAAAGTATTCAAATACTTTGTAATTTTAATTAAATACTTTTATGGAAGCAGTATTTGTTTTTGTAACTCAAATACTTTCACAAATATTTAGTATTCGAATACTTCGCAAAGTATTTGGATACTTCGTAAAGTATTCGAATACTTCGCATAGTATTTGAATACTTAACCTTCCTTTTTTACCAAAAATCGACTGCACCAAAATTTCTCGGGAAAACACTTTTTCTTATTAATTTTGGTGGGTAGAATCCAAAACAATTCGTACTTTTTCGATTAGATTTTTCAATCAAAAGATATAGGCTAGAAACCAATTTCGAAAGAAAATTCAAAGGGCTGTAACTTTTGAACTAGTAGCCCAATCTTGGAACTGTTTGAAATTATGGATTCTACAGGCCACATTCTATAAGAAAATTTTTCCCCGGGTCGATCTGAGACAATTTTTTTTTCGTGCCTCAAAAAAAGGCAGTGTACAACCTTCCTTTTTTACCAAAAAATCGACTGTACCAAAATTTCTCGGGAAAACACTTTTTCTTATTAATTTTGGTGCGTAGAATCCAAAACAATTCGTACGTTTTCGATTAGACCTCTCAATAAAAAGTTATAGACTAGAAACCAATTTCGAAAGAAAATTCAAAGGGCTGTAACTTTTGAACTAGTAGCCCAATCTTGGAACTGTTTGAAATTATGGATTCTACAGGCCACATTTTATAAGAAAATTTTTTTCCGGGTCGATCTGGGACAATTTTTTTTGCGGGCCTCAAAAAAAGGCAGTGTATAACCTTCCTTTCTTACCAAAAATCGACTACTCAAAAATTTCTCGGGAAAACACTTTTTCTTATTAATTTTGGTGCGTAGAATCCAAAACAATTCGTACTTTTTCGATCAGACTTCTCAATCAAAAGTTCTAGACTAGAAACCAATTTCGAAAGAAAATTCAAAGGGCTGTAACTTTTGAACTAGTAGCCCAATCACGGAACTGCTGCTCTGATAGCAGCGGAGTAACTCAAGGGGGCTGGAGTAGGAATCCCTTCGGACACCAAAGCATACAAGAAAGACTTTCCCGTCTCGAGATTATTATTATTATTATTTTAGTATAAATTAGTTAAAATTCCAGAAATATTTTAAAGCTTGGCTGACGGATCTTATCCTCGGTTTTGTCTGCAAGGAACTATGTCACAAAGTAATCACATTTTTTAAAGAGAAAACTACGACATACAGAAAACTTTTCAACAGTACCACTTCAGACTGCAGATTGCAATTTTGGAATTTAGATTATATTCCCGGTTACAATAGTCGATCCCGGAAGCTCGCTCCACAATAGAATGAAGCTCTAAGCTCGTTATCAAGACGTAAACTATTTTCTCTTTCACCAAAATTACGATCAGCGCAACGGTTATACGAGATTTTAATTAATGAAACGCCCTTTGTCACTATCTGCAGAAGATAGCCATTTATTTACATCCTACACAACGAACAAATAAAGGTCTGTTGGTGATTCTCAAACAAACTGGCATTTGTCTGTGAAAGCTCTACGAGTGCGTATTTTCTAATTGGGCCAACTTTCGGCACATTCGACTCGAGAATGAAGGTATCTTTCCCTAAGGACTGAGACTACGCGATAGCAACACGAAGAGGAGATTTGATCCAATTTCGAGTGTAAAAGCACAATATGAATCCCATGTTTGATTACTAATTAAATACATTTAGCTTTAAGGGGGTTTTGTTCCTTCGCAAGAATTACTTAGTATAATGAAATTACAAGTTTTCCGTAACATCGATCCTTAGACGCAAGATTTAGATTTATTTTAAGCATAGTTTGTATACACTTCATCTTTCATGTTTTAAAATTAAAAATAATACAAAAAACGCTATTAACCGTATAAACGCTTTCTAGAGGCAGAAGAACCCTCAGAAAAGCATTCTTCAGTGTGAAAATGTGGTCCCTACCTTCAACCCTCTCTCGACTTGAAATTAACATAAAAAACCGAAATTCTCTACATTAAATAAATATATAATACTTAATTTTTCTTAATGTCCCCCCATCCGAGCGCAAAATAATAAATGCTGTGCCCCACGTGGGGTGAGGGGTGAGTCATTACACCTCAAATTACACGAATGAAAACTGAACTAAGGTAACTAAAGAAAAATTGAATCTCAGGGTCCAGCTGGGTTCCTAAATACTGACTTATCAGCAAAAACCTACACGTTTTGCAAAATAATTAAGCAATGGCACAACCGTGTAAACAACTTTGTTCCTTTTTTAAATCCCCAGCACTGGTTACGTGACGTTTGACATTATTGACTTGGCAGCTCGGATACAAACTTTAACTTCAACGAAGACGCAACTTTAAATTTGACGAAACACCACCTCTTCTATAACTTGAAACTAATTGCGTAAACACTGGCTTTAGAAACTTCCTGTATCATTTCGTCTTAATTTATCTGACAAACTGAAGACGTAAAACACAGACTGACTACCGCAAAAAAGCGTATTTGAATTTAAACGTAACGGACTGTTACGTACGCCAAGTCAATTGCCATCGTTGATCTAGATCAATTAAATTTTACTTTGATAAAGTCCCCTTATCAAACATCTACCAATTACATAAAACAATTAAACCCTACTAAATTGTGGAACATTTTAACAACAAAAGTAAGACTACAACTAAAAGTAAATAAATTTCGAACAAAATTCTTCCAGATTTCCTAATGACCTAAAAATCTCTGAGGGATACATAGGAAAAACTTATGAAATTTCTACAAAGCACGGTAGATACATTGGAAGAGCACAACAAGTAAATGTCAATTTTTTTTTGGACAACTCTAGTGGGAATTCGGCACCATTAGATCGCGAATAAGTAAATGCCATTTTCTTTGGCAACAGTAGAAGACAAAGGGGCAATAGAATTTGAAACATTTTTAGTGTCGCCATTAAATAAGCCTTTCTGACCCTCTAGCGGGGTGAACCGCGGATAATCGAATGAGAATTTTGTTGGTAACAATATATGTCAAACATGTTTAGTGGGGGCGTTACACGAGCTTTTCTGAAACTCCAGTGAGAATTTCACCCCCGTAGACCGCAGACAAGCTAATGCCACACCTGAATGAAGTCTTCCTCAATCCTTTAAGCATGTTTCAGGCCTCTGTTAAACATTCACTAAGCCTCTTTAAAGCCATCCCTTCTTTCGCCCTTTCTTTACGTTTTCTCTTCCCTCGCAGTTCCAGCCTCAAATTTCTATCCCGTCTTCCTTTTTGGCACATTTTGACAAGGTTTTCATCTCACTTTAGTCGACTGGCTGGCAGCAAATGAGGGCCCGTAGAAGAACGCTTGTACAAAGATGAGAAGAGTACCCTACCGGGTCGTGTAAATTAACAAGTTTAGGGACGGGGATACATGATGTGGACTCAGCGACATCTGGGTGCCATCTCGGAGCGTAAACACTAAATGGTGATTTTTCAGTTTTTTCCTGTATCTTCTACAGTTTTGGTCCCATTGTTTTCAAACAGGTGTCGTCGGAAATAGGAGCTCGAGCTATGAGAAGTGGCCCAAAAATTGAGTACCTACTATTTTGTGGAGGATTTTTAGCGAAAGGAACCAAAATTGCGCATTTATATGACTGTGGAGGCGCGAGTGTCGACAAAGGAAATGGCGGTAGCCACTGACAAGATCAGATTGATGGTGCAGTCAAAACTTTGTGTTTGCTTCACGCCATATCTTGTTACCTTCCCACAAGGCTCCATTCTCCCAAATTTTTAAACTTTAGTTTATTCTCCCATACAGTGAGAACGTTTCCGGATTCTAAGTCGATTTAATTTACTGATATGACAGGGTAGGTAAGTAGGGTAAGTACATGAAATAGCGCAGAAAGGAGAATTGAATAACCCCGAACACATTTTCGTGCTCTATAAAATCGAAACGAGAACAAACGATAAATAAATCAAAGTTTCGCTGGAAGGTGAATTTTTCCACCCGGTCAATAAATAGTGCGCGATTTCTAAACATGTTACATTTTCGATCGTCTCCACAAATAGCTATTGCCGTCACAAAAATCCAGAGATTGAACGATTTTATCATCTAAAAGCATCCTCTTTTCGGGAGTTTTCATATTTTTTTCCATCGATACGAATATCCAATATGTGCGGAAATAGGAATCGTGGCAACAACGAACGTTTCATTGTACCAAAACGTGTGACGTAATGGCCTTATAACAGTCATCCTGTTAGTAACCAAACTATATTTATGCTTCCCAACTCGTCCTTGCTTAAATGGCGCTTGTTTTCCGAGTCGATTTTCACTTATCTAAAGTGTCATCGAAAAGCAAAGGCACGCTCGAGCCTAACGTTTTAAGGGCAATAAAAGTCATTACATTTAAAGACCGGTAAAGGGATTTTGAATAGGAAGTGTAAGTTTAATCGCAAATTGTCCATTTATTAGGTTTTGCAGCTTTACAAAATTTGCTTCTGTTCTCTTTTAATCAGTTCAGTTCTATTCAACTGAGCAATATTGGTATGCAAAACATAAAATTAATCCACCAAACAAAATTGTGTAGACAGAAGTATCATTTCGGCGTATTTCTCGAGAGACAATAAATTTTGATTTTCGATGAAGCGAAAATTTCGCCCCGTCCGTAATCAAACATGATGATATTATAAATCACTCAAATAATAAGTCACGCCCAGATG